CCGCGGCCGTCTTCGCCTGCGTCACGGCCTACGTGCACAAGGACAACGAGTGGTACAACATGTTCGGGTACTCGCAGCCCTATGGCTATGGGGCCGGCAGCACCTACGGGGGCTACTCCTACAGCGGACCCAAAACACCTTTCATCCTGGTGGTGGCGGGGATGGGAAGGGTGTCACGATAGTGCTGCTGGTGCTGGGCATGTCGATGTACTACCGGACCATCCTCCTTGATTCCAACTGGTGGCCCTTGACTGAGTTCGGAATTAACGTGGCCTTGTTCTTTCTGTACATGTCGGCTGCCATAGTGTACGTCAATGATACCAACCGAGGCGGGCTCTGCTATTACCAGTTGTTTAAGACGCCGATAAATGCATCTTTTTGCCGTGTAGAGGGAGGTCAGACAGCAGCGATCATCTTCTTGTTTGTCACAGTGATCATCTATCTAATTAGTGCAGTGGTTTCTCTAAAGTTATGGAGGCACGAAGGAGCTAGGAGGCAGCGGGAATTAATGGAGCAGGAGGTAAGTCATTAGTTATAATTTTGTATATACTGGGTATAGAGTGATGGGGAGCAGCTGGTGATGGGGCATCGTGGCCAGCAGGTCCAGGGAGGTGATTCTGCCTCTCTGCTCCGCTCTGGTGAGACTCCACCTAGAGTACTGCTTCCAGCTCCGAAGGCCTCAGCACAGGAAAGATGTGGACGTGTTGGAGAGCATTCAGAGGAGGGCCACAAAAATTATCAGAGGGCCGCAGCACATCTTCTATGAGGGCAGGCTGAGAGAGTTGGGGTTTTTCAACCTGGAGGGGAGAAGGGCCTGGGGACACCTTACAGCAGCCTTCCGGTACCTAAAGGGGGCCTACAGGAAAGATAGGGACAAACTTCTTAATATGGCCTGTAGTGATAGGAGAATGGGTAATGGTTTTAAACTAGAAGAGGGCAGATTCAGACTAGAGAGAAGGAAGAAATTTTTTACTCTGAGGGTGGTGCAGCACTGGAACAGGTTGTCCAGAGAGGTGGTAGATGCCCCATCCCTGGAAACTTTCAAGGTCAGGGTGGACGCAGCTCTCAGCACCCTGATCTAGTTTAAGATGTCCCTGCTCAGTGTATCATTGCCGGGGGGAGGGGGGGGTTGTACTAGAAGACCTTTAAAGGCCCCTTCCAACCTAAACTCTTCTATGATTTTATGAGTTGTAAGATCATAGATGATGTCGTGTCAGGTGCCTTCTCTGCAGCAGGTCTCTGTAGCCTTTGAGGGTGATCTTTCACCAGTCTTAACAGTACTTGAGATCACCAAATGGAAGCTGTTTTTAAGATGTCTGATCCAAATTCTTGGACTTCTTTTTTTTTTTTTTTTTTTTAAATTTGCTTTGTGAAGGAGCTGGCTTTGTTTTCTTTGTAATACTCAGCCCTCTTCCTGCATCAGCTGATTAACTACTTCCTGGTGTGTATTTTCCAAACAAAGGAAGAAATGAACAATGTGCTTGTTCAGCTGTTCAGGAGGGTTAGGCTTAAAGCCACCTAGCATTTATTCGAAGGCTGTACTTTCAGCACATTAAGTACTAGTGTGAATGACCATAAGAACATTAAATGTTTATTTTTACTTTGTAGGCAAAACTCCAAGCTACTTCTTCATGTCTTTTCAGCTTTCCTTGTAACAGTTATCAGAAAATAATAGTAATAACAGAGTTGGCTATATTTTGGTGTCTCAGATTTCAATCACCTTCATCTTTTTCGCAATGGGTATTTTGCATTGCTGCTGGCTGTGCCCTTACTAAGAGCATTGAGTACTCACCTGGTTAATAATAAACTGTAATAGTAGCAACTTATCACTGTCAACTAGAGAATTCAAAGTCATTTGTGTAAAACCTCTTTCACATGAGACCACCACCAAAAAAAACCCTTTAGAAATTAATAAAACATAATTTTATGTTATATTTGTTTTATTAATGTATGTGAAGCCTACATAAGCATAACTTAAGGAGGGGTCAGCTTTTAAGTGCTTTCAGTAGGAGAGAGCAGGTTTCATGTTGCATTTCCTCTGGTCTGTGACTGCAGTCTGTTTTGCAGCATTTTCTTTTAACACTGGTTTCCATTCCGCCATCTTGCATAAAACTGAGGTACCTTTGAAAGGTACCTTGCAGCTCTTTGATAACAGAGTTTTTTGACCAACTTTTAATATGTCCTGCAAGAATGAGGTGATGGCTGGAATTATACAGAAGGTGTTCAGTCACTCATCCCATGTTCTTTTATTCCAGTTACTCCATATTCCTGAAGGGAATGCTTTTATAGTATGGGTTAGGCTCTGGAGAGTGCTCTGCAAAACAGCTGCTGGTTGAGCTACCAGTTAGTGCACTGTTGTGTGTTCTAGGCAAGGAATTAGGCTGCAAAGTGTCAGTGAGTTAATATGGGCTGGAATGTGAACTCACAAAGGAGACTGGGAAGTGGATGGAGTATTTCCTGCAAGCTGTTCCTTACAGCTATGCTCTGGGAGGTTCTGTCGTTGTTCTAGGTTTTGGGTGGTTGTTTTCATTCCGCCATTCTTAAATAGTCTTTATTTTCAGATCAATTGATTTATTCCTTATGCTAAACTTCTTCATACCTAAATATAAATGTAATTCTTTGTGCAGAGTGGTTTTGAAAAAGTTTAGATTTTAAAAGTCTGTGATTTTGAATACTGCTTTTGCTGAAAATAAGACTTACAGTTCTTTCCATTTTTTTGACAGATGAAAACACAGTCCTCTTTTCCAGAAAAGAAGGTAGGAAGGAGGAATTTATTTTTCTGTTTACTGGTATTTCCAAATGGTTGTTCTTTTTCTTTTGACTATTTTGATTGACCTATCTATTTATTTACTTATTTGGCTTGGAAGAGGTCAGGTTTAATTCTGTACTGTAGTCTGTGCAACATTCTCTTACCTAGGTTTGGAAAAAGCTTGTAAAGAAGTTACTACTAGTTAGGCTAGGTTATAAAATTTACTGTAGAAAGCAAATCTGGTGGCTGCCTCTGTATGTGCTCTTACCCTCTTTTATGAAGTCACGGGTTCTGTAGCATTTATCACAGAGTTTGGCGGACATCGCTAGAACAGCAGGTCATCTGATGCATTGTAGGTTTTAGAGACTCTTTCCTCCTGGCTGTCTGTTAAACTTGGAGCACAGCCAGTGGAAGCACAGTGGTAGGTGCTCCGTGAGTTGAGCCTACTTCTGTGTCTGTGAGACTGCTCCAAAGACCTCCTTACCAGTTTTGAAGTATCAGCACTTTTAGTGCTTCTGCCACACAAAGATGCAGTCACATACACTGCAAAGATTGTATAGGATCTTAACAGCAGAAGTTGATGATTCGTAGAGAATTTGTGGTGTATTTATGTCACTCTTAAATGTCTCCTGTTAGATACTGTGAGTTTCCTACCAGTTTTCTCTGTCGCTTCAGTATTGGATCAGGATCCTTTTTTAAGTGTTCCAACAAGACTCCATGCGCTTTTATTTCTGGATCAAGTGATAAATTGTGCAATAGGAAAAAAGGGAACTCCAGAGAACTAAGTGATTGCTCTTCATTAACAAATTAGATGGAAATCCAACGAAACTTCCTCAAATTATTTTTTTAAGACATACAAGACAAATCTTTCCAAGCCCTGAGAAGTATTTATCTGTCACTGGTACCACTGTTATGACAAATTGAAGATGAATACTGTGTGAGAAACATTACTGTAACTCTACTAATTTTCTAATTACAATAAGGGTTGTAAGAAATATCTATGATTGGCTTCTGCTGCTCCTCAATACTTGTATGTCTGTCTTCAAATGAGTATATTGTAGTGTATGTATATTGCATTTGAAGTAAAACTGACTTCATTAAGAACTTTTTTTTTTCCTTTTAAAACAGTATGAAAGTGATGACAGACCAAGAGAAGAGGTCACTTACAGGCAGCTTAAATCAGTGGAAAGAAAACCAGAACTACTTAATGGTCATATACCTGCAGGCCACATTCCTAAACCTATAGTGATGCCAGACTACTTAGCGTAAGTGACTTGACTTTGATGAACAGTCTTAATGGAGAATACTTGGATGATGTTTTTCACTCAGCATTTCTCATATATACGCTCTTAGTTTCTCTGGATGCATGTGCTATGGGAACTCATAATTCTTTATTAAGTTAATGTTAAAAATGGACAGGATGGGGGCTGGTATCAATGGCATAGAACTAGTAATATAAAGAATCTTAAACTTAAAACTCACCCAAACCTCAAATTGTAAAACAGAATGTTATAATCCAGCAAATACAATAACTGCCAAAGGAACAGCAGACCACTACAATGGCAATGTAGAAAAAAATAAAATACATGGGAAATTACTTGTTTTTTTAGCCCCTGAAATTTGACTGCTCTTCTACTTTCTAAATGCTGAATCTATAACATGCTCCCTTTTAAAGGGCAGGCCTTTCCATGGTGAAGCATGAGATCATAAATTAATTTTTATACCATTTGCCATAGACTAGGGCACAAATGGAAACACAGGAGGTTCCACCTGAATATTAGGAAAAGATTTTTCACTGTGAGGGTTAACAGAGGTTGCCCAGAGAGACTGTGGAGTCTCCATCCTTGGAGATATTCAGAAGCTGTCTGAACACAGTCCTGGGCAACCAGCTCTAGGTGACCCTGCTTGAGCAGGAGGATTGGTCCGTATGACCACCAGATGTCCCTTCCAACCTCAACCATTCATCTTGTGATTTCAATGCTTTACATACTTGCAAAATTCAGCAGGTTATGAGATCAGCAAACAATAATGAAATATACTGTTAAAGTGAAGGGTCAATGTGTTTGTTGAAGTCCTATCTCTAAAACTAGTCCTTGAAAACTATTTTTTTTTTTTTTTTAAGGAAATACCCAGCAATTCAAACAAATGAAATGCGAGACCGGTACAAAGCAGTATTCAATGATCAGTTTGCTGAGTACAAAGAACTGTCTGTGGAAGTTCATGCTGTATTAAAAAAGTTTGATGAGCTGGATGCATTGATGAGACAGCTTCCTCACCATCCTGAAAGCATATATGTAAGTACCTGTGAAATGGGCTCATGGAAAACAGGTGTGGTATTAGGCAGTCTCTGACTGTCTTTAGCTAGGGCACAATGTCTTGTAATGCTCGCAGTGACCTGGTGGGAGAGAAAGTTTCCCCAAATAATGTTATTTCTTCTTTGGTCATCAGTCAAGGATGGTAAGTTGCAATTAAGTTGTAGGCATGTTTTTCTGATTTGGGTTTTTGGTGTTTTTTCATGTTCGTAGCTTTCAAGTTTGAGTGAGTTACAGTTAATGTACTTTCACTATTTCTCAAGTACAAGATTTACAACTAAAATGTTACAGCTATAATTGATTGATCAAATGAGAATTTTACTTCTGACAAGTATTTTGTAGAATTTACATAAAGATATGGGGCCCACTCGGAGTCCTTAAAAATGTGTGGTCTTTTTCATTAGGAACAGGAAAGGATATCAAAAGTTCTGCAAGAATACAAGAAGAAGAAAAATGTGAGTCTTTTCAGCTTTACATTGCTAGTGAATCTAATTAATAGCAAAGAAAGTGTAAATAGCCAATGTGTCTGACACTAGGTGCAATCCTTTAGCTCAGGGTATCTGTAGCTATTACAAGGCTTTGTATATTTTGTCTTCTAAAACTTTGACAAATTTAGGAAACAACCCACTCCACTCATGCCAACAACCTGTTTTGAGAATAATGATTCCATTAGACAGATGTGGGGGAAAAAAACCCAACAGTTAAGCATTTTCATCTTCTGAGAGTATGTCTCATCTCAGCATTCTATATTCAGGAGACTGGTTATTTTTTTGAGATCCAGTTCATTTATATTCACTGACCGACACAGCCAACAGAGAAGTTAACAATGGAAAACATAGTCTTACCCTTGAAAAGAAGTTTTAAATTTTCTTTGCGGCATAGAGCTTAGACAGACTCTCAAAAAGTAATTTTCAGTGTCATCCAAGAAGTTGCACTTTGTCATTTTTAAATGCAGGCAGTAAATGCATACCTGTGTTTCATGAAAAACAATACATTACAAATATTTTTTTTTTTTTAAAATGGAATTCAAATTTCGTGTCCATGCTAGTTAAACTTCATTGCTTTTCTGAGGGGAGGGATTTATTAGATGTAACAAAACACATCTATAAAGTCCCAATGATGTAATAGGATGTCATTTATATTTGTAGATTTCCGTTTAAAAAATGCTCTGATTACTAAGTAACTATAGCACATAAAAGCATAACCACTTTTTCCAGCCTTTCATGAAGGAAGGGGAAGCAGGAAATAAGAAATTGTGACTAGGGAAAAATAATATGATTTTGGAGAATATTTATATACTGTCCTTATTCAAAAACATACTTGATAGTAGAGTATTCGTGGAAGAGTCTGAAAGTTAAATATATTAATGTAAAGGTTTTTATGTTTCTGGCAGGATCCTGCATTTCTGGAGAAAAAGGAGCGTTGTGAATACCTAAAGAATAAGCTTTCTCACATAAAACAACGGATTCAGGACTATGATAAAGTTATGAATTGGCATGTAGAAACTTAGCTATGCCTTCACTTTGTGCATACTATTTTCTATTTTTTAAATTGATATGAATATTTTAAAGTATTTATTTACTTTCGGAACAATATACCTATGGGGATTACTTAATCACTTTGTCACTTACTTAGATGTTGCATGTTACTGGTAGGTTTTGTATGCAGATCCAATTTTCAATCAATGTAATGAAGTTATCAGGTAAGTTTAGAAAACCCGTGCTAACGTTCTGCTTTTATTAGACAGTACACAGCCTGGTCTCTTAAATATGCATACTTTGTTTGGACATACTGTATTTGCAAACTTGCAGAGCCCACCAGGGAAAGCAGGTCTCCATGCCATGTCTAAAGTTTGCACAGAAATGCCGTTAACAATTCCAGATTTTATTTATAGGTGATACCTTAATGATACCAGAAGTAGATGAGCTGTTCTTTCTGGCTGGGGTTTGTAGGAGTGCTTAATCAAGCTGAATGATTTTGGCAAGTGGAAAAATTAGTTTAATGAGACTTCTTGTATTGTATTTCCAAATGCTCTGTGGTATGTCAGATGCAAAAGAGAGAGATGCAAAATAACTTCCTATTTAAGCAGCCATAGTAAGGGGGGGCGGAGGGAGCTTCTGTTGAAGTTTTGTTATTTGGTTTGGGTTTTTTTTTATTCTCCCTCTTTAGAGGTGATGCAACAAATTTATACCTGGCCTTGAAGGAACAGAGGTACGTGATGAGACTCATGTTAGTGTTCCATTAGTGTTGCAATACGCCAGTACGCTCTGCATACCTTTTCTGGGTCGTCTTAGTAGGAGTCCATGGGTTTAAAGGCAAAACATTTCATTCTTCATCAGCAAGTAACAGGACATTTTGGCTAGGCAGCAGCTGTTTGTGAACTTGGCATTCAGAGACTAAGTAGAGCAAAATTAATTCTCATTCAAAGTATAAATTATTAGTATCCTTTATGAGGCCAGGTAAAATATTTTAATAGACATGCTTTCCTGACCGTATCTGCATAAATTCAATATACATTTTTATATTGGGGATAAGTTTGTATATGCAATTGTTTTCATAAGCCAGTAAACTTTCTCTTTGTATCCTTTTTCACACCTTTGTTTACTTTTTTACTTACTAGAATTGTTAGATAGTTTCTTTGTACAGTTTTCTACAGATGCAATTTGTTCTGAAATATATTTTAATTTGAAAAAAAAAAAACCACCACCATAGCCATGCTACTCTATGGCTTATAAAGGCATTTTTTTAGAAAAAGGTGCTCTGATTAAGGTTATCTCAAATTTTTATTAGTGATCATTTTTTCTTTACAAGAAAGTTTTCAACTTTTGCCATAACTAAAGGCAAGGCATCAGGAAAGCTGTTTCTAGTTTAGAACAGTGATGCTAGTACCACCTCTGTTCTTCAGTACTGGAAATGCATTAACATACCTCACTCTGGCAGTTATATCACATCTGATTTTTGAGCCCTTATAATTCACACTGCAATCCTAATGGCTACAAACCCACTTTCATATCTATAAAGTTGACATTCCAATTTTATCAGCCACTTAATTCCAGGAGTTTTGGTGGATGAAGTAAATAACACTAGACACCATGGGAACACTAAAAGAATTTGAAAACTTGGTACCTCTTCATCTGAAAGCCTTCAGTCTCATGTACCTGGAAGGCATCTCAGGATTTTCATCAGTCTGCAATCAGATGACAGTCAGTGCCATCTGTCTGTCTCTCTGGGTCAGGTTTCTATTCTTTTCAAAGGACAGGAAACCTCCCCATCTTATGAAGGAGCTGGGCCAAGTGTTTTATACTTACTGTGCTGTATATTTGTTAAAATTTTCTTTGTGAGAGGGGTCCTTGTCCAAATCTCTGCAATCTAAATGACCTCTCCCTGTACACCCAGGTTTCTCATTTTTTCTCAGTGGGAGTTCTGGGCATGGCATTAGTACCAAGAGAAGAAGATTAATCTAAGTTTAAGGATCAAGTGACGTTTATAAAGTGCTAAAAAGAAGCTGACTCTGATGTTTCCTTTGGGAGATTCACAGTCTGCGCCCTTAATAGGTCTTCCTCCCATAGGACACGGAGACTTGGCTCCAGGCTCCCTTTGACAGTGGTCTGAGTTTCAGTCTCTTGAGAAACTGGTTCAGGGCCTCTCGGAGAGTGTCAGCATGGCCTCTGCAGAACCGTCTTGCTTCTCCTTTCCTGGAAAGATTCCAATAAATGAGTTGGGAAGAGTTCCATGCCTGTGGCTGGAACAATGAAGTAAACCGAGTGGAGATAGCTGTGTATGGATCCTCAGTGTTTCCCAGCAAGGTGCCACAGGTGTGGCTGAGTGGATTTCCCAAAAGCTGAGGAGAGAAGACAGGTAGGAATACTGCCTTCTTGACAACTTTTTGGGTTTCAGGTAGGATTAGTGCAATGCACAGCAGTGGGGTGTGCTGAGCATTGAGCCCCAGGAGAAGGCATTTACCTTTGCAGCTTAGGAAGCCCAGCAGGGCAACATGTTGCGACCATTACAGTAAATTACTTTCTCCATTGTGGGTCCGTTACAGACCTCAACACTGTTCATTTGGTGCATACAGTTGGTGAGCTGGTTTTGCTCTAACCTATCAATGGAGAACTGAAAAAGGGACTTGTCAACAGTGCTTTGAACAGGCCAAAGAAAAAAATGTCAGTCTAAGAAACATTTTTCTCTCTCAGATAAATTGAGATGTAATGAAGTAAGAATTAATGGCTGGGAGTTGAAGCCAGTCAAATGCAAGACAGAAATTAGGAGGAAATTGAGTAAGAATTGGTTACCATCAGAACTATCAGGGAAAGTGGTCTCTTGATATCCTTAAAGAGGAGAAGGTATACTTCGGGCAAAACTGAAGTTATTAGATGATTATCACCTTGGTCTCTCTAGTTCAGCTCGCTGAATCTACATTGTTGCATGTACATGTGAAGAGTCTGCTATGTGGTCTTACTCGTGTGACTGGGTTTTTGCGAAAGGTAGTCAACATTTATTTCAATCTTACCAAGTAATATTTCCCTACCTCAGTGGGTGTGCAGCATCTGTTTTCAATTACAGCCCGTCTTCAGACGCTGAGTGTATACAATACAAACTTCTATCCTTCAGTTTTCCTCCTAGAAAATGCCTGCCTGGCTCCACAGATCTACAAAGGGAAACGTCCAAGAGACTTACAGTTTCCAGGAATATAATAGTTTTTAAACTGGACTTGAATAAGTCAATAAAAGGGCTTTTTTTTTTTGTCTTGATAAACAGTTGGATATCCTTGATCAAGATAACTTTGGCAACATCTGCATAACTCTTTACTAATTTGTACATTCTTGCAGGGCAGATAAAGCAGCACCTAACAAACGTAACCAAAAGTTTGTATTGCATAGTGTGGTGGACTAGCTTTTATGACAGCCTATCAGCTAAAAATACTCATGGCAATGAGAAACCTAACTGATTTGAAATTGTAGAAATCCAGTATTTAGCTTATTAATCTCAAAATTGTGGTGGGATTTGAAGCATTTGGACAATAATAATGTACAAAATGATTGTATATCCTGCATTCCTTGTCCAGCATTGAAATTCTTGGCCTTGACAATAAAAAAATATTTCTGTTTTGAAAGAAGTGTCATCTTTCTCTTCTATTAAAATTGTCAGTTTGCAGGCATTTTTCCATGTTAACGTTTTATAAATTGGACTCCAAGAAAGGATGGCATGTGATCTAATGGGAGTAGATCAAACTACAGCTTTATTTCAATTCCTAGAAGTACACCTTGACAGGTATGGTTTAATTGAAAGCTAACTCATTTCTCCTCTTGTCCTGGTTTGAGGTAAAACAACCAATTTTCTTTTCAGTAATTTTACTTTTCAGTTAAGACTCTTCTAACTACTGAAATGAACAGCATATTGTGCAGACGCTGTTTGCTCTGAGAGCGGTAAGACATATGTTAATAGCTGATGCCCAGGCATAGTATGCAGAGAGGCTCTTGCGTATACTTATTGTTATAACACCCAAGGGCAGATAACTTGGTTATTTGCCCCGTTGGAAGGTTGGGAGTGGAAAAGCGTAGAGGGGTCCCACCTGTGGCGAGGAGCGGACAGGACAGGTGACCCAAAACTGATATTCCATCCCATCTGCCCCATGCTCAGTATAAAAGCTGAGGGATCAAAGGGTCAGGCTTTTTCTTTGGTGGCCGGTGTCCAAGGAGGACTCCGTCCATTCATCTGTTTTTGATTCCGATCCACGCATTCCTGGATCCAGTGCCCGAGTTCAGCTCCTGTCTGTCACTGCGTCCAGCCGGTGATGTGATTGTCACTCTGGGAGCTGATACTGGGTTTGTATATATTGTATGTATTTCATTATTTTCTTATTGATACTTTTTATTATTGATATTTCATTAAAGTAGTTTAGTTTCTTTTCAACCTATAAGCGTCTCTCTCTCTTATTCTCTTCCCTTCTCTGTAAGGATTATTTTTTCTTCCTCCTCTGAAGGGAGAGGGGTTAAAGAGAGCATTTTTTGTTCCTTTAGTGGCCAGCCCAGCCTAAACCACACCTGTTTCCACTATATTTATAAATTGCTCCAGATGAATGCAGCAGGGTGAAGGATACAGAAGCAGCAAGTTTCTCCCTGCTCCTATTTAAGGAAACATTACTGCCGTTTAAATGTTTTCTTCCTCCTTGATTGTCTGACTTGGGTGCGGAGTGACAGCCCTCGGGAACGGATGGCGGCGCCTTTCCTGTGGTTTGGTCTGGGCACCCTTCCACCGCGTCCAGCCAAGTTACCATTGCTCTGCAGAGAAATAATGGGATACGTTTCTGGCTTTATCGGGCAAATCCTCACTGTGACGCCTACGGAACAGAACCTTTTGGTGACGGCAAGATGGATCCGTGCTGCCCGGAACTCTGTCAGGTAGAAACAACACATAAGTCGTGTACCATCAAAACACCTCAAACTGATTTGTTACCTCATTTTCTATTTCGATGTTAATCTGAAAAGACCTCCAACTCTTTCGGCACACCAAAGAATAACACTTTTGTGTAACCGCATTTTCTTTCCGCTTGCGTTGTGAGAAAGCAAACGTGTGCGAGCTTTTTGAAACTACAGGCAATTTTTCACTCTAATGAAATCAATAATCTGAGGCTGTGGCCTCGGAGCGGTGTGGAG